AATTGCCGTTTAAATTGTTAATAAAACAACAAATTTTATTAGTTTTTTCATTTAATATTAAAATTCATTATTTCCTTACTATTTAACAACATTTTTCTCGAGTCTATTATATAATTAAATGTAATTTTAAACCCTATTTAACGGTCGCCGCGGAAACGGAAAAAATATCAGATGTTTTACAAGTGATTGATTGAGAAATTTAAGAGCAATTAAAAATAGAGAAAACAAATTCATTATAAAAAATGCCTATAAATTGACCAAAAAAATTATGCCTAAATTTGAAAAACTAAATGTGATTAACAAACAAACAAATCAATTAATTAATCGCTAAAAATTTACAAATTGTTTTACAGATATCGTGTCAAAGCATTGTGTGTTACGAGTCATGAAAATTAATTATTTTGGATTTTTGTTAATTTTTATTTGAGTAAAACAAAACGAGAGGTTAATGATGTACTTAAACAAATAGCCTTTATAAACACATTAAATAGGTATTTAAATTTAGTTATATATTAAGCCTAAAACTCTTGCGAAGCGCTCATTATTCCTGCTTTGCGGCCAACTTTTTCTTAAGACTTTCGGGCATTTCGGGCGGCGGCGGCCGCGGCATTGCCAGCGCAACCTTCACCGCGTCATAGATGAACCATTGGAGACCAGTTAGCGTACCAATCATTATGATACGGGGCGTCAGTCCTTTCCACATACCTTTGCCGTCACAAACAGACAATCAATTAGTAAAACACTTATTAAACAATTCAATTCTAACATAAATTATTAATTTAGTAAATAATTTGTCACTAAATTGTGCCGTACGATAGGCTAACCATTGGGTGTGATTTGCCACCGATATTGGGCACAATTAAGTGTGTAATTATACTATAACACGGTATGACTCATCGCCGATCGTAGGACTGGATCCATGAAAATCAATTCATTGATCGCAAACCGATCGGGACTTAATTGGCGTGTAATCGCAATTCAAATGCAATCCAGAGGTTTAAAACACTCTTACGATTGCATTAAAAGGAAGTGTTTGTGTGACTACTAATAGTAGACAACTCCTTACCGCCAAATCCTAACTTCTTGAGCACCGATCCGGCGGTACTGCCCTTGTCTTGGTTGAGCTTCGAGACCACTGTGTCGGCCGGATGTGAGACAATCGCGCAGAAGACACCGGCTGTCAAACAAAATAAAAAAAGCACACATTAATAACCAATCAATCAAATCCATGTCTAACCACCACTACTACTACTACTGACCGATATAACCGGCGGTGAACGTCACCGTCAACTGTTCCGCTTTGTTACACTCGGCGCGTGGTTTGGGCACCACATGCTTATACAGCAACTCGACGGTGCGCTCAAAGCAGGCGAACTTCATCATCGTGTNTACTGACCGATATAACCGGCGGTGAACGTCACCGTCAACTGTTCCGCTTTGTTACACTCGGCGCGTGGTTTGGGCACCACATGCTTATACAGCAACTCGACGGTGCGCTCAAAGCAGGCGAACTTCATCATCGTGTAGGGGATCTGACGCATCCACAGCGGCGCCAAACCCTTATAAAAGCCGCCCAAACCCTCGCTCTTCCAGATGCCGGGCATAATCACGCGCAACAGCGGCGACGCTCCGGGCTGTGTCTGCGACCGCACTTTACACGCCTCGAACGGACACAACGCGATGTCGGCGAAGAACTCGGCCGACGCCGAAGCGGCCAAATAGAGGGACGTCCGCCACTGGAAGGCGGCCTCTTCGCCGATGGCGTCGGCGTACACCTTCTTGAACACCTCGTAGAGACCAAACTTTCCCAACCCTTGCAGAGAGTAACCGAACGCCGTGGGCGCCCACCCGCGGCCCAGCCCTCGCATACCCTCCTCCGCGACGGTCACCTTAAAGCCCGACCCAATGCCCCTGTATTTGGTGGGATTCACTTGAATGCGACACTTCACCAGATCCAGTGGCGTCAACGCCGTGTGTGTGACACCGCACGACAGGACACCACCTAAACCGCACAGCGCGAAGAACTTGGGCGACCCGTACGCGCACGAGTCTCCCGGCAGTATCACCAGATTTCCGCCACCCATTATGTCTTGTGGTATGTATTCTTCCGGTATGTCTTGATTTATATATGTCTTGAGACGATGTGCTCTTCACGTGATCGACAGATGAAGACTCACGAGACTCACGAGTTGTGGTGATAATCACTGGACTCTTATCTGTATATCAATGTCATTGAGAAAGCGAAAGGTATTACTCGTGTATTACATAATACAGTAATTATGGTAATTATTTAATTATAGGTGCACAATAAAATGCACCAAGAGCATGCTGTAGGTCACCTTGAATATAAACAAGTAAAATTAAAAATTAAAAATTAAAACTTACCGGTGATGGTCGGATACAACAAACCCCGGGCTGTGTTAACACGCTTTACGCCTAACAGTAGTGTTAATCCAATGGCAAAGACTGTGTGCTATAGAGAGTCGGCTCCGGGTATTCAATGTCAGCAAAATGTCACTGCATTTCAATAAACCATTGGGTTTAACGTTAGGTATGTATAGCAGTGGCGCCCCCTATAGGCCAGCCATAGGTACTGCTCATTGGGTATGTGTTTAACGCCTATGAGTCCATCGATTGCCCGTCAGATGTCGTGTCGATCGCCCTTTAAATCATTGTCGCAAAAATTACGTGCAAATCAATGACTCATATATGATGTTACGATTTTTTGTGTGTGGGAGGATATGGGGTAAATTATGGGTAAGTGAACTAGGTTATTATTTTCAATTACAACCTGATTGCAATTTATTGAATTTAGTTTAACGTTAAATGTAGATGATTTTTATTGCATCAAGGTTGGTTTTTATATTATTCTCTGTGTATAGGGGCTACAAATGTTAGTATTTATCGTAACGTTATTCGTGAATAGTATGAGCGAAACACATGCTTGTGTTGGAGATTATTCAAGCAATTATTGGCGTTATTTGCGTAATGAGATTACCGGACACACTGTACTGTTGGGTATACTGTACTTACCATTGAAAATCATAGCGAATGCCAACCAATAATTGACTTAACGGTACGAGTGGTGACACCTGTCGGCCGATGTGTGGCATTAAACTCAATGGCATTTCAAATGGCAATGCATTTCAATGTGTAAAACAATTTTGTGCTGAAAATTGTATTTTTGAAAAACATTACAATTCGTGAGAAAAACACAAAAAATTGATAATTTTTTTTGTAATTTTATTTTTTAACTAAATTTAATCAAAATTAACGCTTAATTTGGTTGTGAATACACAGAGAGGGGTGTAATTTGTGTGAACCTAAAGGGTGTTTGAATTATAATTAGGGTAATAATAAATACCCCGTGTATTCTGTGCTATAATTGTTTGACCAGGGTCTATCTAGTAAATTGATCCAGTTCTTATTTAAAACCGGTTTTAATCAAAACAATTGACTCATAAAATGTCTGCCAAAATAATTTGTCACAAATTAAACACATTTTCGTTGAGAAATGCATTCATTCAGAAATGCCAGAGAAGTATATCGACCGCCGGCGGACCACTTCGGGTGCAGGTAATGGCCGATCACCTCATTATCGTCTAAACTAATGGTTTTACCACTTCTTCCTCCGCAGCTGACGGTCAGGGATGCGCTGAACAGCGCTATGGATGAGGAGATGGAAAGGGATGAGAGTGTGTTTCTGATGGGCGAAGAGGTGGCCCAATACGACGGCGCCTATAAGATCAGTCGCGGCCTCTGGAAGAAGTGGGGCGACAAACGGGTGATCGACACTCCCATCACTGAATACGGTTTCGCGGGTATCGCTGTCGGCGCCGCTATGGTATGTCCTCTCAGAGCCCAATCAGAGCTGTTCCTGTGATCACCTGATCTTCATGTGATGTGTGGATCACATGTGTGTCTAATTGTTTGCCTGTTGTGTGTCTTTAGGCGGGTCTGCGGCCCATCTGTGAGTTCATGACGTTTAACTTCGCGATGCAAGCGTGCGATCATATCATCAATTCCGGGGCCAAGACTTTCTACATGTCCGCCGGAAACGTATGATTTGTTTTATATATATGTGTGTTATATATGTCCCGGTATTTCCCGCGGACTACACATATCTGATGATCACTTGTTTTATGCCTACCGTTGCAACGAAGTGGTGGTCATAGTGGTTGATAATCAGCGGTGAATATCACTAATTCGTGTTTGTGTGCCATTGATAGGTAGCGGTTCCCATCGTATTCCGCGGGCCGAACGGCGCGGCGGCGGGTGTGGCCGCACAGCACTCGCAGTGTTACGGCGCGTGGTATTCGCACTGTCCCGGACTCAAAGTGGTCTCTCCCTATTCGGCCGAAGACTGTCGCGGACTCATGAAGGCGGCCATCAGAGACCCGGATCCGGTGGTCTTCCTCGAGAACGAGCTCATGTATGGCATACCCTTTGAGGTGACCGATGAGGTCAAGTCCAAGGATTTCCTCATACCGTTGGGAAAGGCGAAGATAGAGAGACCCGGCGATCGCGTGACACTCGTGTCCCACTCGAAGAGTGTGGGCACGTGTCTGGACGCGGCCAAAGAGTTGTCCGCACAGGGAGTCGAGTGCGAAGTGATTAATCTCCGTTCGCTGAGGCCTCTCGACGAAGAGTCCATCATTAGATCCGTTATGAAGACTAACCATTTGATTACTGTTGAGGGCGGTTGGCCTCAGAGCGGTGTCGGCGCCGAGATATGCGCCCGTATTATCGAGAGTATGGCTTAGCTTTTGATGAAGTGTTTGCATTCATTGAGTTATAATTTGTCTGTTTTTTTGTCACCTGATTAGGTCCAGCGTTTGACTATTTGGACGCACCGGTAGTTCGTGTGACCGGCGCTGACGTACCGATGCCTTACACAAAGTCATTGGAACCGCTGTCACTGCCGCAGCCCTCGGATGTAGTGCTGGCCGTTAAGAAAGTGCTGAATATTCAATAATAGTTAATTATAGACATCACTAGTCATTAAAAACAATTTATTAGGCCATTAATTAAATCTCTCTCTCTCTCTCTCTCTCTCTCCACATTCAAAAATTTTTGTCTCGTTTTAAATCTCTTAACAAAAAGTTGTTTTAGTCTTAACTCTCAAACAAAAAGACAGATTTAGTTGTTTTTGTGACATATTTTAAAGTTTAGTTAATTATTGTATAATTTTTTTGTTGATTAATATAACGAATTGTTTGTCAATTTATTACACCGTTTATTGTTTTTTGGGACAATTTTCTGGGTTTTTGTTTTAATTGGTGTAGAAATTGATTTGTATTTTTGTCGCCGATTTATTTTAATTGAATTGTAATTTATTATTATTATTATTATATATAAAGTTGAAAAGTTATTTAGTTAATTATGCATACGTTTTAATGAATTAATTATAATTAAAATAAATTTTATTTATTGGTTTTAATTTGCGCTCAAATTTGAGACTATTATCGAGATTTAAATAGTCGTAAGTTTTTGTCTCAGTTTTAATCGACTAATTGTATTGAATTTAAATGATTATTACTTTTAATTATATTTTACACATAATTTTACTATAATTATGCAAT